GGCACGGTGTTGCCTTCCTGTGGACCACACCGGCTCTGAAGGCATGTGGGCACTGCCCGCCTGGGACCCAGCAACTATTAATATACCTGCAGCCACGGGGCAGGCACAGGGCCTGCCCAGGGCCCTGCTGCTCTAGCCCTTCCCGTACATTTGTGTGTGCCCCATCCGCCTCCCGTGAGGCCCCTTGGTGGGACTGGTCTTCCAGGTGATGAGACCAGCTTTCTGTTTTGGCCCCTCTGTCTGGCCTTGTGACCCCTGTGGCTCAGAGGGTTCAATAACCTGTGCCCACAGCCACAGGGCCTGGCCGAGATCTCTCTAGCGTTAACAATGGGCAGGTTGGCCAAGACTTCTTGGGTGCTGGACCCTCTCCTACTGCAGGTCCAGCAGGGAGCTGGGATCTCACCCCAGGCCACGTCCTTCCCTTCGGGGCAGCTCCACAGGCTTTGGGACACTGCGCGTCTGTCAGGCACCACGCTGCACTTCTCCCACGGCCACAGGGCCTGGCCGAGCTCTCTCTAGCGTTAACAATAGGCAGGTTGGCCAAGACTTCTTGGGTGCTGGACCCTCTCCTACTGCAGGTCCAGCAGGGAGCTGGGATCTCACCCCAGGCCACGTCCTTCCCTTCGTGGCAGCTCCACAGGCTTTGGGACACTGCGCGTCTGTCAGGCACCACGCTGCACTTCTCCTGTGTTGTCTCATGGGACCCTCCCAGCCCTGCTATGTGCTCCCCAGGCTGAGGCCCAGAAGAAGGGATTCTGTGGCAGAGCCAGATTCAGTCCCATGCACTGTCCACCACATCCCCTGCTTCTCTCACTGCCGTTGGGGTGTGTGTGAGGGGAACCCCTTCTTTCCAGGGTCTTGGGTGGGTGGCATGCCCTCAGAAAGCCTTGCGTGGGCCTTGCATGGGGTTTCGAGCCCTGTACCTCTTCCCCACGCTGCCACTGACTGAGGGCCACCAGGGCTGGGAAGGGTCCTCAGCACGTATTGCCCAGTGGCCGACTTGGGGACAGACCCAGCCCTACCTGCCCCTGCGGGGTCTGAGCTCTGTGGCACGCAGGCCTTTCAGGACTGGCCTGCCCACCGGGCCTCAGTGCTGCTCTTCCGTGTCCGTGGTGTCTGCTTTGACCCGTGTGGGGTGGGGGTCACATCTCCCCTCTCTCCTGGAGCTTCTTCCCTCCCAGCAGCACCCCTCTGCTCTGCACTGTCCGGGGTTCAGGGAGATCGTGTGTGAAGTGGGCTTTGGGGATCGCAGGACCTGGGCGAGGCAGCTATGTTGGGCTTACATGGTGGGAAGACTGCCCTGAAGGTGACCTGAACATGGTCTGGGTGGATCTAGTGAAAATGTGTGGAGAGGGAGGTCAGGGAGGTGGGGCCAAGGCCTCATCAGCCCAGGCTGGGGTGCTTTCTGGAAACTTCCCGGTTTCTTTACCCTTTCCCCACATAGAGGCTCTCTGCACCAATAACTCTGGAATCTGTCACCTCCCTGGGAACACAAATGCACAAGGGAAATAATCCGAGTGTCTCTCACAGCTCAGAAGGGGAAATGGATGATCTAGCTCTCGGATTCTCAAATAGCTGGGGTTTCTCCAAGCCCAGTGAACTCTGCCGGCCTGAGCCGGGTGCCGGGGTGTGGGCTGGCTTCTCACCCTCCTCCTCACTGGGTAGGGGGGCCAGGAGACACCTCCATGCCTTCCTCTGGAGACCTCCCTACCCCCCAGTGCTCTTTGGGGGCTATGTCCACTTGAAAACCTCACTTTCAGGGTGACCCAGCCCTGGGGGGCTGTCCCCGATCTGTGCCATGGCTCTTCGGGGGCTCAGTCTGGGAAGTTTTATATTTAGCTGGGCATGGCTGTAGGGCCACTCGGGTTACAGCTGCACAGAAGGTGGCAGTGCCAGGGCAGTGGGCTCCTTTCCAGCGCCGTGGCAGAATTTGATCGCATGGCCTGCCCCAGAGCGCTGTGCGTGGGGAGGTCGGTGGTGGGGCCTGACAGCCGGCAGCTTGGGCCACTGGCCTCGTGGGCAGAGCAGGGTGGCATGGACCTGAGTGTGAGCTTGGTGGCCCGGGAGGCCAGCCAGGGCCATGGCCCCAGCCCTGGCGTAGGCCTCAATAGCCTGCCCCGGCCTGCACCCCCCAAAGTGGCCAAGAAACCTAAAAAGGGCGTTCTCTTCTTTGAGGTGGAGATTCTGGATGCAAAGACTCGGGAGAAGCTGTGTTTCCTGGACAAGGTAGGACCGCGGTGCCGGCTGCACTGGGTCAGGGTGCTGGGCTCATGCCTCTTCCTTATGGGACTCCTGACCACAAGGGAGATGGGAGTGCTCCTCCAAACTGCTTGGGAGGTGCACGAGGGGTCCTATCCTCAGGCCTGGGCCTGTCCCTGCCAGCTCGGGGTAGAGTGGGCAGCCCTGGCCGCTGGGTGTGCCGGGACTTGGCCTCACCGTGCAAGAGGAGGTGAAGCAGCCTCAGTGGAGCCTGCAGGGCTTTTGGCTGGGAGGGGGTAGAATTATAACCAGGCCAGGACAAGGGGCTTATCCCTTCCTAGGGGAGGTCTGGCCTGGACTGTGGGTCTTTACTCTGGGGGAGGTGTGGGTAGGGGTGGAGAGGAGAGCCCAGCTTCTCCTGCTCAAACTGTCTCCCAGCTTGGCTGGGGGCATCCTGGCTGCCTGGTAAATCTGGGCCCCCAGGCCCACTGCCGTCCCCACTCTGACAGGCCCTTGCTGCTCCTCTCGGCCATGTGGGTCTGGGGCTTGGACCCCAACCTTCCCCACTCCCATAGCAGCTACCCAGGCCCCTATCCACCCCCACCTCAGCAGGAGGGATCCTGGATTAGGGGTCCTGGCTCCCCCCAGGGCTGACTTCCCTCCGGCCCGTGCTTCCCTCAGGTGGAGCCCCATGCCACCATCGCAGAGATCAAGAACCTTTTCACTAAGAGCCGTAAGTCCAGGGCCCAGCCACACTGCCTCCTGCAGCCCCTCTGGGCAGGGGCCTCTGGGTGGGACCCCTCCTGGCAGCCTCTCCCCCCAGGGTCTGCGGAGATGCCCGTAGTGGAGCCCAGGACTTTCTGGGCTTGCCCGTTGCAGCGCCCCCGTGTGGCCACTGGTAGGAATGCCCTTGCTTGGTTTTCGGAAGGACAACATCCAGCTTCTGCCAGTGCTCTTCCGGGCTGTGTCCTGGAGCCACCCAGGCCACAGAGGCCTTGTTCTCAGTTGGAGGAGCTGTGGGGTCCTTGGGCCGCACCAGGCTGTGTGCTGTGACGCCCTGCTCTCCCCGCAGATCCACAGTGGTACCCTGCCCGTCAGTCCCTCCGCCTGGACCCCAGTGAGTACAGCTGTTGCTTGACCACCCCTGGGCACCCCGGTGGCAGTGGGAGGCCTGGGTAGCTCCTGAGCTGTGGCCTGCCTCTCTGCAGAGGGCAAGTCCCTGAAGGATGAGGACGTTCTGCAAAAGCTGCCTGTGGGCACCACAGCCACACTGTACTTCCGGGACCTGGGGGCGCAGATCAGCTGGGTGACGGTGAGTCCTGACCCTACTACCTACAGCCTCCTCTCCCATCAGCCACATTGGGGTGACTCATCTGCCCGTCTTCCCAGGTCTTCCTGACGGAGTACGCGGGACCCCTTTTTATCTACCTGCTCTTCTATTTCCGGGTGCCCTTCATCTATGGCCACAAATATGACTTCACGTCCAGCCGGCACACGGTGGTGCAGTGAGTGGGTCAGGGTGGAGGGGGTGATGGGGGTGGGGGTGCAGCTGTGGACTATAAGGCCTTTTTGCTCTAATCCTTTCCGCATGGCATTCACACCAGACTTCTTATGTTTTCAGAGGCAGCGAGCCTTTGCCCAAGCTAGTGCGGGCTGCGGATCTCTCTCACAGGTTCGCTTCATTCTTGCTGGCTTTGATCAAAAATCGTCCTGCTTTCCGAACGCCTCCGGCTTCTCCCATGGCACCATGCCCTTGCGCAACATCTTCAAGGTAAGGCCCCCGGCCTAGTGTCCCAGGCCCACCCACCCTAGCCCCGCCCTCGCAGGACCCAGCTCTCTGCCCACACCCTTTGGGGTGGACCGCCCCCTACCCCGGACCCTGCCCTCCACTGGGCCAGGCCCCATCCTGGCCCTGCTCCCTTTCAGAATTGCACCTACTACTGGGGCTTCGCTGCGTGGATGGCCTATTACATCAACCACCCTCTCTACACGCCCCCCAGTAAGTGGCTTTGGGACCCTGCTCCTCCTGTGAGCCCCCACCCCCCACCAGGCTCCTCTCATCGGCCTCCCCTCTGGCTTTCTTTGCAGCCTACGGAGCTCAGCAGGTTAAACTGGCACTGGCCATCTTTGTGGTAAGCAGGCAGGCCGGTGTGTGTGATGGGGTGGAGGGAGTCTGGGGGGCTCTGGGCTGACCCTGCTCCTCTGACAGATCTGCCAGCTGGGCAACTTCTCCATCCACATGGCCCTGCGGGATCTGCGGCCAGCTGGTGAGTGGTCTCCTCTGGGCAGGGGGTGGGCAGGCTGGGCCAGCGGGTCTCACTCACCTTACCATCCTGCCTGTCAGGATCCAAGACCAGGAAGATCCCGTACCCCACCAAGAACCCCTTCACGTGGCTCTTCCTGCTGGTGTCCTGCCCCAACTACACCTATGAGGTGAGGGCCCGCCCGCTCCCCTCTCCCTTGGGGCCTCAGGTTCCACGTGAAGGGTCAGTCCCGGGAAATGGAGGTCTCGGCCTTGGGGCTCGCCAACAGTTACGAGGCGGGGGAGTGGGGAAGAATCGGGTTGCCTGGCTCAGCAGTTGCTTTTGCAGTTTGAACCTGAGAGCATCTGGAGATGCAGACTGTGGCCCGGGGGGTTGGGAGTTGTGTGAGGCCGGGCTTGTGGCTGTTGAGGGGTGAGGGGCATGTGGGCCCCCGCCCCCCACCCCCAATAGCTGGTCTGCCCTCATCTCAACCCTGTGCCCACAGGTGGGGTCCTGGATAGGCTTTGCCATCATGACGCAGTGTCTCCCAGGTGAGCCCACTTCCCTCCCCGCTGGGCCCTGCCCCGCTCGGTGCCAGGCACCCCCCTGACCTCCTGCTCTGCTCTGCTCACAGTGGCTCTCTTCTCTCTGGTGGGCTTCATCCAAATGACCATCTGGGCCAAGGGCAAGCACCGCAGCTACCTGAAGGAGTTCCGGGACTACCCGCCCCTGCGCATGCCCATCGTCCCCTTCCTGCTCTGAGTCCTGCCTCCACCAGCTCCTACGGTCAGGCTCTCGGGAGCCGGGCTCTCGTACCCCCCGTGTCCTCCTGGGGGAGGAATGGGGTACACTGCTCTCCAGCACCTGGAATAAAATCTGCCTGCCCGGCTGGAGTCGGACTCAGGCTCTGTGTGTTTCTTTGGGGGGTTTGGGGACCAGTAAGCCACAGGAACAGGCAGGGCATGGGCTGAGGGCCTGGAGGCTTTTATTTCTCCCCTTGTCCAAGGGTGGTGGGTGGGCCCCACTACACGGCCACCTGGCTTCTGGCCAGATCTGCCTCCCTCTGTTCCCGCCGCTTCTTCCGCTGGAGCAGCC